GCAGGGTTCCCAAGCGGAATATGAGTTGCTGTTCCTGCAACCTTCGGATGGCATCATTGTGGCACTGCAGGAGGCCCAGGATGGACATGTCGTCTGAGGAATGGGAGGGGGAGTTGAAATGGTTCATGACTGGGAGGTGCAGTTGTTTAGTGCGAACCGAGCGTAGGTGTTCTGCAAAGCGGTCCCCAAGCCTCCGCTTGGTTTCCCCGATGTAGAGGAGGCTACAACGGGAACAGCGGATGCAGTATACCACATTGGCAGATGTGCAGGTGAACATCTGCTTGATGTGGAAAGTCTTCTTGGGGCCTGGGATGGGGGTGAGGGGGGAGGTGTAGGGGCAGGTGTAGCACTTCCTGCGGTTGCAGGGAAAAGTGCCGGGTGTGGTGGGGCTGGAGGGGAGTGTGGAGCGGACAAGGGAGTCACGGAGAGAGTGGTCCCTCCGGAAAGCAGATAAGGGTGGGGAGGAAAAATGTCTTTGGTGGTGGGGACTGTAACTGCAGAGTTACAATAACCTTGTTCGAAATGGGGCTTTACTGATCAGCATGTATATAGGAGAGCTTTATAAATTACAGATAAGACTGTATTCATCAGAATATATACAGGAGAATTATATAGGCTATAGATAGGCCTTTACTGATCGGAATATATACAGAGGAGTTGTATAGATTATAGATAAAGCCATATGAACAGAATATATACAAGAATTATATAGATTATAAATAAGACTATACTGATCAGAACATAGACAGGAGAGATGTACAGATAATAGGGCTTTACAGTTCAGAATATATACAGGAGAGTTGTATAGGTTATAGATAGATATTCTAGTCATGAAGCCCTATAGGCATTTGATACTGTGGCACAAACAGATATGTAGGCAAAGTTATAGAAGAAAAGAAGCAGTAACAACATGGATCCTGAATAAATTGAGTGTGAGAATTAAAGAGAGTCATGGTTCGTTAATGTTTTTCTGACTCAAGGTAGGTTTGTAGTGGAGAATTCCAGGGCTTATGTTGTGACCGTTGCTTTCCCTAATATATAGTCATGACCTAGATCTTGGTGTACACAAAATACTTTCAAAGCTTGCAAACAGTACAAAACACGAAATCATTGTGAACTAAGAGGAGAATAGTATAGAACATCAAAAGAACATGGATATGTCAGTAGAATGAGCAGATAGGTGGTAGATGAAGTTTGAATCATAGATTCTCCACAGTGTGGAAGTAGGCCTTCGTCCCATCAAGTCCACACCAACCCTCCAAAGAGCATCACACCCAGACCCAACTCCCTACCCCATTCCTATGATCCTGCATTTCCCATCGTTTATCCACCTAACCTGCACACCCTGGACACTAAGGGCAATTTAGCATGGCCAATCCACCCTAACCTTCACATCTTTGGACTATGGGAGGAAACCGGGCCACCCAGAGGAAACCTACGCAGACACTGGGAGAATGTGCAAACTCCACACAGACAGTCGCCCGAGGATGGAATTGAACCCAGGTCTCTGAGGCAGTGGTGCGAACCACTGAGCCACCGTGCCGCCACCAGTTAAATACAGAGAAGTATGAAGTTTGGTAGGAGAGACAAGATAAACTGAAGGGTACAATTCTAAAAAGGATGCAGAAGCAAGGTGACCTGGGTGTGCATGTGCATAAGTCATTGACAGTGGCAGGACAGGTTGAGTGTGGATAACAAAGCATATTGCATCCTGGACTTTATCATAGGGGAATAGAGTATATGTTACATGCAAGCATATGAATTAGAAGTGGGAGTAGGCTATCCAGCCTCTCGAGTCTCTCTGCCATTCAAGGCAATTATGGCTGATCTGATTTCTCTACATTCCTACCTATCTTGACAGCCTTTCATATCTTGCTTATCAAGAATCTATTGACGTCTGTCTAACAAATATTCAAAGTTTCTGCCTTCATCACCTTTTGAGGAGGAATTTCAAATACTCACTATCATCAGTGAGAAAAAAGTTCCCATCAGTCTTAAGTGGATGACCCCTTATTTTTAAACAGTGCCCCCCCTAGTTCTAGATTCGCCCACAAGAGGAAGCATCCTTTCCACATCCACCCTGTCCAAGACCCCTCAGGATCTGAGGAAGGGTCACCGGACCCGAAACGTTAACTCTGTTTTCTCCTTCACAGATGCTGACAGACCTGCTGAGCTTTTCCAGCAACTTTGTTTTTGTTCCCTCAGGATCTTGTATGTTTCAATCATGTCACCTCTTACTGTTTTAAACTCCAGCAGATACAAACCTACCCTGTCCAACCTTTCCTTTTTTCAAAACAAGCCACACGTTCTAGGTATAAGCTGAGTAAACCTATCCTGAATTGGCCCCCATTGCATTTACATCTTCCTTAAATAAGGTACAGAATTGTGCACAGTATTTCAGCTGTGGTTTCACCAGTGTTTTTTATGCCTGAAGCGTAACCTTTTATATTCCATTCTCCTTGCATTAAATGATAACATTCTATTAGCTCTTCTGTTTTCTGAATTTTTGCATACTAACGTTTTGCAATTCATGCACTTGGACACCCAGTTTTCTTTGCATCCCCAAATCTAAGGAATTTTGAAAAATTAAAACAAATGTGGCAACTATCTCAAGAGCAACTTCTTTTAAGACACTAGGATGAAAACTGTCAGGACCCAGGGACTCGTCAATGTGCATTTCCAACAATTTGCTGAGTACTGATTCACTGGTGGCAATAATTTTCTAGAGTTCCTCCTCCTCATTTCCTGATAGCTATTTCTAGGATATTACTTGCATCCTCAGCAGTGAAGACTGATCCAAAATATCTGTTTTAAATTCCCTAGACTGATTTTCTAAAGGACCAACACGCACCTTGTTAACTCTTTTCTTTTTTAAATATTCAATTCCCACACTGGCTGAGATTATCTTGAAGAATTGTCCTTCTCAACCTCTCCCATTGCCTGAGGCATGATGACCCTCAGGTTAACCGCCACCAGCCATCTCTCTCTCTCTCTCTCTCTCTCTCTCTCTCTAATCCTATGGTCTGGTAAGACTATAGAGACTCTTTATTATTTTATATAGAAAATAGGAGCAGGGGTAGGTAATTCAGACCTTTAGGCCTGCCATTCAATATGATTAATGCGGATCATCCAGCTCAGTACCCTGTTTCTGCTGTCGTCAATACCCTTTGAACCTTTTATTTTTAATTCATTTATGGGATGTGGGCATCATTGGCTGGGCCAGGATTTATTGCCCAGCTGGCATTTGAGTGTCAACCACATTGCTGTGGGTCTGGAGTCACGACTCAGTAAGGATGACAGATTTCCTTCCCTAAAGGATAATGGTGAACCAAATAGGTTTTTCTGACAATCGGCAGTGGTTTCTTGGTCATTATTAGACCCTTAATTTCAGATTTTTATTGAATTCAAATTTCACATCTGCTGTGGTGGGATTTGAACCCACGTCCCCAGAACATTATCTGGGTCTCTGGATTAATAGTCTATCGCTAATACCATTAGGCCATCATCTCCCCTTATTCTGAAGAAATATACCCGACCCATTTTTGAAAAGATTCAATATTTCAATCTCAACTGCTTTCTGTGGCAGAGATTTCCACAGGCTCACCCCTCTCCAGGTGAGGAAATGTCTCCTCATCTCAGTCCTAAATGGTCTACCCCATATCCTTGAACTGTGACCCCTGATTCTGGACTCCTGGTCATTGGGAACATGCTTCCTGCATTTATCCTGTTAAAATTTTGTGTTTCTATGAGACCCCCTTCATTTTCCTAAACTCCAGTTAATATAGTCCCAATTGATCCGGTTTCTCTTCATATGTCAGCCCTGCCATCCCAGGAATCAGTCTGGTAAACATTTGTTAGACTCCCCCCATAGCCAGAACATCCTTCCTCAGATAAGGAGGCCAAAACTACACACAATGCTCCAGGTGTGGTCTCATCAAAGCCCTGTACAATTGCAGCAAGACATCTGTTCCTGTACTCAAATCCTCTTGCTATGAAGGACAAAATACTATTTGTCGTCTTCACCACCTGCTGCACCTGCAATGCTTACTTTCAATGACTGGTGTACAAGGACATTCAGGTCTCATTGCACTTCCCTGTTTCCCAATCCATCACTGTTTGGATAATAAACTATAGAGTCATACAGTACAGAGACAGACCCTTAGTCCAACTAGTCCATGCCGACCAAAATCCCAAACCAAACTAG